CTAAATAAATATATCACTTGTTAATCACCATCTATGCATCTGTAAGCATCATGTCTAATTTATATTTATAGAGTTACATATTAATACAAGATAAGATGGACATCTTCACGTGTTATCGTTTGGTTTTATACTTGATTTTCTTTAATATAATAATATTATTAATGTTGAAAATTTTCATGTGAACTGCTGCTAATTGTATTTGGTTTCTAAAATTAGGTCAAATGAAAAATCGAGAAAACCCAATAAAGTAATATGATCCAAATGGGTCCAAGTTTTATTTTAGTTTTATATGATGTAATATGAATATGTGTAGAGTTTAGAATTAAACGTGGACTACTTGATGGAGTGCTCAAATGATTATTATAAAAGGTTAGGTCATTTCTTTTATTAAAAATATCCTACCTCTATAAATAGTAGAATTAAGGAGTGATATGATCTCTCAGTTGTCACTATACATAAGCTCTCAATACAAACTATATTTGTTTTTGTAAGTTTTATCATGAAATTCCTAATTATGATGCTTTTTGATAATCTTTGAAGATTTTTAAATAATATATTGATTATAAAGATTTAAAGTAACATATTCATTTTATTAGATTTTGATATCCTAAATTTTACGTACGTCGATACTTAAAAATTCCAACAATTAAAACCCAAATCCCATTGCCAAAGAAATTTTGGGTCTAATGGCAATTAAACATTACTAAAAGATTACATAATTAAAGTTAAATAATGAGTCAATTTTTTTTCATATATTTTGGATTAAAGGAGATAAATTTTTTTATTATTTTTTTAAAAATCTCTATCAATCATTCTACTCAAATTTAAAACTTTTAAATTCTTTAAAAATAAGATCACTATTGAAATTATTTAACTAGTTAGCAATTCTTAATATATTAATGATGTATATTTTAAAAAAAATTTAAATTGATAAAATGTGCGAATAAGGAAGCTGTGGCCGACGTTGCCTTCCATCGATTGCTTGTAAGTGCTTCCTTTAAAAAAAGAAAGGGTATAATTCTTTGCATATTCTGAGAGATTCTGAGAGATTATTCGAAGCTGTATGGGGCATATATCTCATCATGTTGCCTGTAATCGATTGCTTGTAAGGGGATGCTTATTAAATTAAAGGCTCGTTGCATATGGTAATTTTGGAGTAAAGGTTAACAATTTTATTTAAACGTTAAGTATAAGTATTTGATAAATTTATATATTTTGAAATTATTACAAATAAAGTATTTGATAAAAATTTTTATTTAATGATTTGAAATTAATGAATAGTGGTTAAAATCTAAACAGTTAACGAATTGAAAAATACTAGTTTAAATAGTTTTTTGTGCCTAACCACTAATGAATTGAAATTTTTTAATTTCATTGACAAATTTATCATTTTTAATTTTTAATTTTTAATCACAGTTTTTAATTAATATTTATCTAATAATTTTCTTTTTTTTTTTTTTGCTTTTACTAACATTAAGTAAATATAATATTTTTATTTTTTACATTAATTTATCATTAAAAAATATATTATCTTAAAAAAAATTTTTAATTAGACAAAATGATTAATTTTTTATTTAAAAATAATA